AAAACATCGATTCATTAAGAATAACGGTATATATAAGTGTATACATGATTTATTTAAAGGGAAATACATTTATCATGAATGCTTTGCTATTGATGAAGAACTATAACATTTCGTTTTAATGGTTTCCTCAAACTTACAGCCAAGAGTTCAATCTTTTTCAATCATTTTTTAACACTCATTTTCATTTTTTCTACTGTTGTAGGAAAGAAGCATATATTGAAAATTAAACCTGACATGTCTGTTTTCAATACAATAAAAAATTAGTATTAGTCCATCGATCCGTTTGAAATAGAAATTTTCTTTCAAAAATATTTGCGTATTTTCAAGTGGAAATATTCATGCAAAAATGCTAAAATCTAATTAAATACCTGGTAGCATTTCTGTAGGCATTTATTGGTTAAAACGCTTTAATGATAGATAATCACATTTTATATCAAATTATAGGAAAATATAAACTTATTGTCTAACTGTATTTTGGAACATTTCATTCTGTCTTTTAATGCAGAATTACAATCTACGGAAAAACTGTAAGGGTAAAGACTCAAGGTCATTAAGGTTTTGCGTTTTAAACTTCACGAATCCTTGCTTTTTCTCTTTGTTTTCGTTTTGAACTCTCTTTGTTTTCGTTTTAAATTATTGATATTCTAAATTATTATTTTTACGCTGTGATAATATTATTTAACATCAACAGAAATCATTTCTTATAAAGTTCTGTGGACCACAGCTCTTACCAATCATTGCTGCTAAAGATTTAAGGCAACAGAAAACGCACATATAAGTCCATTAAAAGATGGTCGAGGGAATTGTTTGGAAAGGCAATGATTGGAATTTCAGGATTATATTTTAGATACTGATTGTAGATCGAGTGTCGTCTATCTGTAACAGTAGTAACTTGGCACACCATGATCCAACATCTTCAATCAATTCCCATGTTTTTTTTTTTCTATTATTATTTTTATAAATTTGCATCCTTGATAAAGTTTTCTTTAGATGCGGAAGGAACTTCAGTACACCACGTTATACTCGGCTATATTTTTCTTATCACATTCTGATGTTTAGTCATGCTTCTGCTTAAAATTCAAATTTCCAAATTCCAGTGAGCAGCTTTTTATCTGAATATGGACAAGGAGAAAATATATCATTGATAAATGAAAGGATACTTCAATTTTGTAACACTATGTTTACAATACAGCCTTGAATCAGGAGTGCATATGCGTGTCTTCTTACTGAACCCCAAACAATCAATTGATTCAAAATATTAGTTTTAGTAATGATTTAGTTGTAACAGTTATACGTACAAAAATCAAATTATTACTTTAATTAGAAATGTCTCAAAAATTCTCTCATGATTCGTACCTAAAATTTAGATCCCTACCAAACTGCCATATTAGGCATTTCTGTAAATTTTGAATGGCAAGTGCACAAATTCTTTTATCATTGCTGAAAATTTCACCTCTCTATCTTTTTCTTTTTTTTTTAGTTTTTGTGCAGACAAAATGTCATCTGAAAATCGATAAATGGGATATACTTCCCACAGGAAGTAAAATTCCCAAAACTGTTATGCTTGTACAAAGAACAAGGTACAGTTTCAATACAAATCTGACCGTGTATTCTTCTAAAATATGAAAGTGATGTAATGAATTAAAACTCATACTTTCTGAATTTTTGAAATACCATGCAGTAAGAATATACAAATTGTTTTTCTTATAAAAACACCTACATGTAGGTATTAATTGTGACGTCAACAACTTGTGTATTAATTTTTCTGTATTTTCTTAAAAATTGCGGAAGATATCATTTTTCGGTGGGTTTTTCTTTCAGATGAAATAGAGCACATGCGTCGCCCACAAAGATTTTAAGAAATGTAATTTTTCAAAGGATTTTACACAACATATCCAAAAACTGAAGAAGACGATGGCTGTGGACACTATTTTCTTACGAAAATATCCCAGAAAATTAGTCATTTTGAGACTTTCTGTTTAAAACTGGGAAGTGTACCAAACTAATGATGTCATATTTTCAAAATGGTCCTCCTTCACGCCATTTTTCTTCATGATTTACAACACTCATATACTCGACTCATATTTAAGTAAATTTCATAACTTTTTGAAAATATTTAATTTTAGGGCTCAATGGATCCTAAACCGTACCTTATTCTTTCAGTTGGTCATGCATTAACCATGAAAAATGAAGCAAATCGATCGATCCATCTTCGAAAAATCTTCTGCACAAAATTTGTAAAGAAAAAGAAAGTATAATAAGGAGAGTGAATATGAAACAATAGAAAAATAGAAGGGTCCATCTTTGGAGACGAAAGACCCCAAAAATCTTAACCAAAACAATCAGTAAAAGGTCTTCCGTTGCAACGAAAGACCTTAATAAGTTTCGAAGTTCTTGGCTATTACAACAGATGTTCAATGACATCATTGAAGAAGACATAGTTCTCATCACATTAGGATTTGGTTGCTATATTTGTTGTGTTTTTAAAGGAACGTACCAGATGTTTAGATACAAAAGGAAAAAACATGAAGTAGCACTCTTTAATCTTGACGTATATTTATCATATACTTTTTTCACAGACAGGTATCATATCCGCCACCAAAAGAGTCCATATAACTGTATATGATGATATGCTCTAAAATAAGCATGGTAGTTCTATTCCGTCAAGACTTCCATGTTTAGGATTCAAAGATAGTTATTTGGGTCAGGGAAAATGTTGATTGTACTCTGAATTGGACTTTTAAGAGGATGTTCAAAGGTTAGCTGCAAACAAAAATGATTTAAATAATTGTTCAATGGTTCGGAAATCACTTTTTCAATCTGCCATGTGGAGAGTTGGCGATAAAAAGGGACCCGATGTTTTGACGTTTAAGACGACTTTATCACCTTATTAGGGTGGTTTAAAGAGAAGATAACATTTGAAGAAGTGAATGCCGTCTTATCTATTCCATAAGTTTTATACATCATAACCTAATTTAATAATTTTATTTGAAATTTATTACTGTGATTATCAATAATATGAGTTCTGTGAGTACATAAATAAATTATGGATTTTATTTTTATTGTTAATGGCATGTATTCTTGTCACCAACATGTGAATATATCATTTCTTTCAAAACAGTTAAAATGATATGAACCAATCATGGGGAAAATATATAACAATCCGAAAAAAATTCTATATTGAGTTTAAAAGAGAAACTATATTTTAGAAATGCATGTTTTAAAAACGCACTTTGATATTTACATGTTCAACTACTATTTTTAATGTTTGCCCAATTGGTAACTCACGTACTATCCTTAATCCGAAAAAAAAAATAATGGAGCTCCTCAAAAATATTCTGACGTTTGAGGCATGTTAAGCTTTAACAATAATTAAATATTTATCAAAACATTGTTTTAAATCCCAGAATTTCAATATTAATATAGAATTTTCTCTCTCTAAAGATTATTGGTCACTGAAGGTCAATAGCTTACACGACTACTCGTGTTGTAATACAAACAATGCAAGCTTTCTACTACATCCAGATACATTTGATTTCACCTCCCTTTCAAGTGATGAGTTTTTGTGTTTCTTTTCCTTAATTTTGTTAGGCATTGAAATTATGTTGGTAAGGTCGCACTTTTAATTATATCAAGATATCAATGGGATTTGCATCCACAAAATTTTCTGCTATAAACAACAACAAAAAATTCGGCATTTTGTCCATTTGTTTATTTCTTGAGATATATTTATGAAGCATAAGAAAGACTCCAATATTGTGAAGTTGTCATTAATTATTGTAATTTATCAATATTACAATAATTAATAAACCAAAACTGAAAATTACGTTACTCTTACATAAGAATTATTAATCTGGGCTTAAATTATCTCTAAATAAACTCTTGTTCGTCTTTAGTGTTCTTTTAATTTGTGACAATATACGTAGATAAATAAATAGATCAGTCCGACAAAACATGTAAAAATAATAAATATTTCATAACATTAACATTAGTATATTTTTATCACAAATTATTCAATTAGCATAAAATCTATATTACACTGCTTTTTTTTTTATTTACGCATTATCACTTCATAACTTACAATTAAAGGGAAATAACCTTTATTTCTCCATAAGCTCAAAACTTTACTAAATTTATATAATTTTTCAAAATATTTACAAATCTCAAAATAAGATAATTATTATTTTTATATATACCAAGTTGTGGACTCAGGCTGTATATATGCATACAGGTGTTACAGCTACTCTGTCTAAAAAGTATCTGGACCTTCACAATACAACATATAGTTGTATTTACTTATAATTTTACAATAAATAATATTTACATTTCAGGTCATATCTAATTATAATTTATCAATGTATCTTTTGAAATAGATCACTATATTTATATTCTTTCAAATCATTTACTAATACAGTGTATATTTTACACATTTTCCATTTACTTATCAAAGACTATTTCATTCCTACTCATTTATTTAACTAAGCAAGTGATATATCATCAAGGGATGTATCAAACTAGTTAACAAATTAATGACTACACTAAAGAGGTCTAACTATGAAAAGATAACTCTAAATCTAAAATAAGTAGTACCATGCAATGAGGTCAGTAAATGTAATTGTCAAACTTACATTAATTTTTAATTCCTATTTATTATTTTATGGCATTATTTTTATTAATAAAATTAATTTATCAACAGTTTAAATCGTATCTAATACTCCATTATTACAAAAGACTAACATCTACAGATTAATTTAATTGATTTCATAAGAAATTGACTGATTAGTCTTATGACACAAAGTAGCTCAGTAAATAATACTGTTAAAACAATAATTCTGTTTGAAATGAAATCTAAGATGCAAAACGATTTGCATGTATGTTGCAAGCTTACATATCATAGTGACATGATTCACTTTGCCTTTCAACATGACCAGATAAAATCATTGGTTAATTAAAAATCATCTAATTGATCTGTAGATTACAATTTGTGCATTTTTACCACTTTAAGCAGTCTGTTTAGTTCTTACGGGTTTTTGGTTAAGATCATGTAGTCTGGCCAGTGTAGCACTGTGGATTTCAGGTTGAAATGAATCTGTAAGGGATTGTTGGTAGGAATATAGAGCAGACTGACAATCTCCCATCATCTCTTGACAGATTCCAAAGATTTGCCATGATATACCTCTCAGACTTTTAGGGATATATACACCCTCATCATGATGGACAAGAACGTGTAAATCCTTTAGAGTTTCTTCTGTTTTTGCTGTGTCAACATGTCTGTAAATCAGAAACTCTAACATTTGTAATAATACGGGAAGTGGAATAGCGAGTGCACGAACTCCGTTTTGTAAGGCGGATTGCTGTTCCAGTAGTAACTCATTAATGTAGTAGATATCAACCTGAACACGACACGGTCCTCTTACAGCGTATCTCATTTTTTTTGACATAGAATATCCCCTGACAACCTCAGTGTACCCCTTTGTGGCTACGTTAGCGTTACATATCAGATGTGGCTGTGCTAACCTATCCTTTGTGATTTTTATAGTACGTAAAGCTTCTTTATATCTCTTTGTTCGGTAATAATACATTGCAATATATACCATGTCAGAAATAAATCCAAATTTAGCAGCTAATTTCAACATGTGACAGGTCTTTTTATCAGCAGAATAGGATAGTTTGTTGACACCTGTGTACATATTAGCTACTATGAATGCAGAATGTTGAAGGAGGGATGCTGTATATTTCTGTAACATGACAACTTGACACTGGTTTAATCTTTGACATAGAGACTGTTCTATCCTGTAAATGGTCTCTAGGCAGAGATGTATTTCAGATTCACCTATAAAATGAGATACATTAGATGTCTGTATAAAAACTGCTATATCAAATTCGACCTCAGTAATTATAGTGTGAAGAGTTAGTTCTGAATTGCTAATAGCAAGTAAGATGGAAGGACCGACTGAAGAGCTAAGGAGGCATGACAATCCCATCTGGTACAGTGCGTATAGTTTATGGAATAAGTTTTTCTGCGCTTGACCGTAAATATTAGTCAGGAACATATTATTTTGTGGAATGAAAAAGTTGGGACAGATCCCCTCATACACCCATTTCAGAAGGAATTTAAAGCAAATCCAAAAACACTTAAGGAGATTTTGTGGACTGCAGTAGATTAAATAATTTTGTTGAATAGCCCAAAATACAGCTGTTTTCATGTGATAGGAACACAGTAATTTGCCCTCATCACTTTCATCATTATTAATCACTTCTTTCAGAAATATCTTAAGCAATCCATAAATTAAAAATTGACAGTGATCCATTGAGTACACAGGTTTTTGTTCCGCAAGGGAAAAGGAAATTCTCCACTCATCATCTTCATGATTTCCAAGTTTGTGTCCAATTGCTACAAAGTGACACCCATTACTGACTATGTCTCGAAGAACTTCTGGCCGTGGCCATGTTGTACATCGATCTATCCAAGGCAATGCAGATGGAGGCCAGAGGTTGGAGGCAAAGCAATGTGCTATGTCAACCTCTAATTCCCCTATATTGTAGCTATTACAAGGACCAAGGGAGATGGAATTCTTTGGGGTACTAGTATTCAAAGGCATAATCTCTCTGTAAAGAGAACTAGATATGTAAAGTCTGTTTTTGATTCTGACAGTTGCCGAGATAACTATTGGGATTGTCATTACATGATTTGTCGGTAACCAAAGTAATGTGAATCCTGGTGGGCTTTCTGAATCGTCAGATAGAATCAGTGGATCGTGTTTGCTATAGAACCTAGCCTGTGAGAAATTCCAAATAACACGAATATTTTTTGGCCAGAACATGGCGTCCACATCAGACCCTTCGAATCTAAATCCTTCTCTGTAACTTCCAGTGCACAGAACAACTTCTTTGTAAGCAGTTTCTACTTGTTTCTCTATCATGTGCATAATATTCATTGCATCTCTCCTCAAGATAACTATCTCTGGCAGACCGATCTTTTGATTCAGCGCAGCAAAGGTGAATTCCGAAATTTGCTGTAAACGTTTCTCACTGTGAAAAAATTAATATTGTTTTGTTGTATTTTTTGAATTTCATTTCAATTCTACAAATAGTGTGCCTACAATATAATCAAACTGATCTCATTACATGTACACTTACATGTCCATATGTTATGATCTGCTAGAAGGCATTCTTCAACTCCAGCAGTTGTTTGTTTTTTAAAAATGTGAATATTTATATACAGGTTATTATTAGATTGATGAAGCTCTTGGATTTTGTTTTTATGCTTTAATCTAAATATATCTCCACAATATTTTAATATCTGTGAGATCATTGAATGTTATTTAGATCGTGGAGGTAGACCCAAAAAACACTTTTTGAAGAGTATGTTTGAAAATATTTCTTTTCTAATTTTGATAAAAACAAAGTCACTAAAATGCAACTGCAAAAATAGAACTATCTAGGAATTTTTAGGAAGATTGATTGATAAGTTTACCATTATAAATGATCAAACGTATCTAATCAATTTGTAATAATAACATTCATTCATATTAATTTTAACTGTAATAGTTCCAGATTTAAGTGCATTCCATTCTTTACCTTAACAAAGGATCACGAAATTATTTCTTTGAATAGAGAATTTCCAAGGCAGTCTTCTATCGGATAACCCATTAAAACATCTGCAGATGTTTTGACGGGTTATCCGATGGAAGAGGCGCCTGGTAGGCCAACAAAATTGACGATAAACTGACAGATCAGGAGCTGGACTTCATACATAAAGACTGCCATTAACTATACTCAAGAAGTTGTATCCTGATCGGGTTTGGAAATTCTCTATTTAAGGAATTGATTTTGCGATCCTTCAATAATTTTAGCATGTGCAAGATAGGTACCGTGGTTACGAACTGAAAATCAAATGTGTCAAATTTCAAATGAAATTTTAAATAAATAAAAAACGTAAGATTCCCGAAAATTTTCACACACGCCACGAACTACGTAAGTTTTGACGTCATCAGTGTTGCACTGAGAGCTATTATGTTGATCTATTTAACTGATAGAAAAAATGTTATCTATCAAGATATTTTAATAAAATTCTACTATTTAAAAAAAATGTTGATTATGGTGCAATTTTTATCTTAATAATATTAGTGAAAAGAAAAATATTGAAAGTATTCGCATATTTTTTTTAGGAAAATCATGCATAAATGCTATCATTTTTTAAAGGTACATAAAAAAAGAAAAAAAAAAGCATGGTTTTGAATGATTTCCGATGCAATTCAAAACTCGTTTAATAAAAAATGTTAAAGGTTATATTTTTCTGCTTGTAATTTTTTTTTCTGTAAACAGAGATGGCATAGTTGGACAAAGAAAATAAGACAATATCCCTCTTGCATTAAATGCTGAATATTGAAGGGAAAACCATGCAATAATCACATTTGAGATATGATTGTTAGCATTAATTCTGTTTTGCCAGTTTAATATGAATTTGTACATACATTATTAAAAGTATAAAGTTTCTGAACCGAAATCATCGCTTCATTCAGAATAACGGCATTATATGTGTGTATATATAAAGGGAAGTTATGGATACATCATGAATGCTTTGATATTTATGAAAACAATAAAAAATCAATTTTAATGGTTTCCTTAAATTTATCGTCAAGATCCATTCTTTCTCATAATGTGTTACGCTCATTCTTAAAAGGGCGTTGTAGCAAAGAAGGATATATTGAAATTTGAACATGACAAATTTGTTTGTCAAAATAATGAAAAAAAAATCAATTAATCCGAGACCACCCCTTCGAAATTGAAATATTCGTTCAAAAATATTTGTATATTTTCTCGTGGAAATATTTATGCACAAATGCTGAAATATGACTAAATAGGTAGTAATTCAGTAACGAGCGAATTCATTGGTGGATACACTATAATAATAGTTTATCATATTCCGTATTGATATTTTGTATTAAAATCAAAAATATATATCCATTGTCAACCTCTCTTTAATTACATTGCTTTCTTTCCTTTTATTGCAGAATTCCAACCCCAGGAAGAATTGCAAGGGTAAAAACTCAAGACAATAAGGCTTTATTATTTAAAAAATCTCATTTTCTTGTTTCCTTTCTTTTGTCTTTGTTTTGCACTTTCTATAGATATTCAAAATAATTGATATTTTTTCACTGTTACAATATTATTGACTTCAAAGGCAATCAATTCTTCTTCAGTTCTTCAGTTCTGTGGACAACAACTCTCTCTAGTTATTATTGCTATTATAGCTTTATGACAAAGGGATATGCAGTTATAAACCCATAAAATAAATGACCATAGTCTGCAAAGGGAATCATATGTTACAGGATAGCAAGGTTGTATCAAAAATTCTTTTGCTAGAAAGAGTGTCTTCTAGCTGTTGTAACTATATACTTCATAATTATCACGCCAGGATCCGACTTCCTCTTCTGGTCCCATTTTATTTTTTTTTAAATATATATTGATAGATTTTTTTTAAGATAAGGAAGGAACTATAGTTCAAGAAGTTGTACATAGCTTTTGTGACAAATGTTCATCGAATCTATATTTTCTTACCACATTCTGATGTTAAGTCAAGATTCTACTGAAAATTCATGAATATTTACAGGGACGGAAATATGTCATTGATAAATTAAAGAATAGTTTAGTTTTGAAACATTATATTTTCAATACAGCCTAGTACTAAGAGTAAGTATAAATGAACTCTTATTCCAATACATACATGTACAATAAAGTCAATACACATGTAGCTAAGGTCTTTATTTCAAAATTTAGATAATTTCAATGCATATCATTTTATTTATTTATTTATTATTAGCATTTTCAATTAAAATTTGTAACAAATGTCTCATACGAGTATTTATAGTAAATATCCATTTTCATTAAATTCTGTTCTTACTGAAGAATTACAGTATATTGAAACTTTTTGAAACATAAAGTTCAAAACAGTTTAGACTGCATCTGTACAATTCATGTGAAAATCGACTATCTGGAACTTTTCCTTCATTTTATACGAATTAATTTTTATTGTTTCCTAAATATTGTTTGGAAATAAATGGTGCCTGGTTCGATACACATAAAATTAGAATCTATCAATTTTGAAATTAAATTTCAATTTGAGGTTCCCTAATATACACGAAAGAAACGAGAAGACATTCATTTGATATACTATATTTTAATCAATTCTACACTTCTGGCAAGCGACTGTTTAAAAAAATGATGTGCTTGAGTAAGCGTTGATTCCACAGCAGTCTATGTACATGTAATATATGTAAAAGTTTTTGATTAAGACCATGTAATCTGGCAAGTGTAGCATTGTGGATTTCGCGGTATGATAATTCTGTAAAAGTTTGCTGGTAGGAATATAGAGCAGACTGGAAATCACCCATCATCTCTTGACAGATACCAAGAATTTGCCATAATATACCTTTCCTCGGTTTATTTATATATATTCCTTTATCTTGATGGACTAGGACCTGTAAACATCTAATGCTGTTTGTGCCTTCGCTGTGTCAATGTATCTGTACATCAGAAACTCTAATTAACATGTGAAATAATACGAGAGGTAGAATATCTAATCTATAGCATCTGCTTTTTGAAGCGGATTGTTGTTCTAGTTGTAACTCATCGATGAAATGAATTTCACACCAAAGTTTAAAATTTTCTTCAAAGTCCCTCATCTTTTTTTTGACAAGGAAAGCCCCTTGACAGCATCAATATGCCTTGATGTGTTCTCTTTAGTCCTAGTCTCCAGATGTGGCTGTTCTTACCTATGCTTTGTGATTTCGATAATATTCAGTGCTTCTGTATATTTTTGCGTTCGGTACTAATACATTGCAACATATATCATGTCAGATAGCTGCTAATTTCAACATATATGACATGACTTTTTATCAGCATTATATACCTTTTTGTTGACACCTGTGTTTACGTTAGCCAATATGAAAGCAGTATTCCGTAGAACTCATGTCATATATTTCTGTAAAATTACATCTTGATACTGGATCAATTTTTTTATGTATCAACTGTTCGGTAATGTAAATGAACTTTAATCATCTATATATACCTATGTCTAGTAACATATACACATGATTTGTCTCTCCAAATAGTACTTTATCAAAAAAGTGAATTTAAAGCAAATCAAAAAGCACTTAAGTATATTTTGTGGATTGCAATAGAGAAAATAATTTTGTTGAATAACCCACAATACAGCTGTTTTCATTTGTTTTCATTCTGTTTTCACAGTTATTTACCCTCATCACTTTCATCATTATTAATTACTTCTTTCAGAAATAGTAGTAGTCCATAGACTAAAAACTGACAGTGATCCATTGAGTACACAAGTTTTTGTTCATCTAGAGAAAAGGAAATTCTCCACTCAACATCTTTATGATTTCCAAGTTTGTGTCCATTTGCTACAAAGTAACACCCACTACTGACTATGTCTCGAACAACTTCTTGCTGTGGCCATGTTGTACATCGATCTATCCAAGGCAATGCAGATGGAGGCCAGAGGTTGGAGGCAAAGCAATGTGGTATGTCAATATCTTTCCCTCCTACATTGTAGCTATTACAAGGACCGTTGGGGTGGAATTCTTTGGTGTACTAGATCTCATATATTCTCTGTATAGAGAACTAGATATGAAAAGTTTGTCTTTGTTTCTGCAATTGCCGAGATAAATTCTGGGATTGTCATTACATGATTCATGTGATATATCCTTAACCAAAGTAATGTGAATCCAAGTGGGCTTTCTGAATTGAGAGATAGAATCAGTGGATCCTGTTCGCTATAGAACCTAGCCTGTGAGAAATTCAAAATACATGTAACACGATGATTTTTTGGCCAGAACATGCCGTCTATATCAGACTCTTCGAATCTAAATCCTTCTCTGAAACTTCCAGTACACAAACCGGA